GGGGCCAATTACTTGAAAAAACTTCAGGCGCACCGTGTGCGCTGGTTCTAGGGAAGAATGGGTAAGTCGGCCCGTTTAGAAGCCGACGCCAATGAAAATCAGGCCTCTTTTTACCTACAATTTTCTAATTTATTTTTATTTTTAGAAAAGTCAAATTTATTTAATTTAAACCCAACCCGACGAAAAATCGACACGAGTTCACTCATATGGGAAAATTCAAATCAATCCCGTCCACAAATAGGTTCATTCATTGCCATTCATAGCCATTCATAATCACATCCATCATTTTCCACCCATGCAAAAATAATTAAAAAAGACCCCCTCTTGGCCCTTATGGTTAAGCGGGGCCACAAAACCAGATTTTAAATACAACTTGAACAATAAAAATTTCAATTAAATCCTAAAATCTCAAAATCATAGTAAATTAACTTGTTCGATTTGATAAGAACACAATCTTGACCCCATTATTGGTCATCTTCTTGAATTAAAATTAATATTTATTTAATGACACGAAATTTTAAAAATAAAATTTAAAATAAAAAACATTATTCTTGATACCTTATAACAGTTGGCACATTGCAGCTGTTCTATTGTAAGGAACAGTTGCGTGACGGAACCTCCTAGTTGCGTTGACGCATCTGTTTCGTGACCTTATCAAAAATTTCCAGATTCATCAATCACTTATTTAACAACATAATTATTAATAAAAAAACATAAACGAAATACACAAATTACGCACCACGAACAAGTTCCGTCACGCAGGTGGTTCCAGGCCAAAGCTCAACTCTTTTGGGACATGAGACATGAACAGTTGCGTCACGCAGGTAGTAGTTGCGTGACGCAGCTGCTCTGGTCCGTAACTACCTTTCAAACTACCCTTTTTACGTGTTCTTTTTTATTAACAGATGTTTAATATTACTTAGAAATGTCCAATGACGGGCAGAATATTACTTAATCAATACCAAACTAACAAAATACTAATAAAACGAGATATTTAATAGGTTAAACAACTAAAAATGAAGAGGAGGGTTTAGATGGTTACCTAACCCTCAGATTAGAGGATTGCATGCGGCTTAAATGATTTAGGAATAGAACTTCACGATCCCAGAAGTGTTTGTTACAAAGTTTTAATAATGAAAACTTTCTTTTCTTTTCTTTTCTCTTTTTTTCTCTTTTTTGTGACTTTTTGTTTTGTATTTCAATCTATTATCTCTAATGGCTTGATCTTCTTCAAAGTAAACTCACTGAGTTCCTTGGAGAAAAACCCTACCGCACTAAGCTTCTTAAAAATTTCCTAAGTCCAAAAAGCAAAAGTCTCGTTTAAAACACAAAAAATTGTTGTATTTTATATGGGTAGGGCAACAGGAAACAGAGGCTGCGTCACGCAACTAACAGCTGCGTGACGGACCGGAGAGCTACGTGACGCAAAGCTCACTTTTCGTACAGTTGCCGCGTTATCCACACAACAGTGCAAACCGTTACACGGGCCTGTCCAAGTGATGTCATCCTGGTTAGGCTTGCGTGACGACTTACTAGTGCCGTCACGCAACTCTGTTAGCTGGTGACGCAAACCCTAGCGCAGGTTCAGAACTCCTTGAACCACCCTAGCGCAGGTCAGACTCCTTGAACCGGTTTAAATCAATTCTTGTTAAAAACGCTTCTGGTTGACCCTGATTCCCTATTCCGCATCCTTATATCCTCATTGGGTTAGGCGGGGGCATAAAAACACGCGTCAACACCTTGAATCTTGACATAAATCTTGATCACTTAAGTCTTGGAGAGAGAGAAAAACAATAGAACAAAAGATGGTATAACAAGGGATGCCTCTACACTGAATGAGTTCTCTCTTTATATAGACTTCTTAGGGAAAACTCCAACTTCGTTTAGGAAATAGAGTCTTTATTCAGTAGGAAATCTCTTGGAGATAAGAGACCGTTTAGGATTTTGATTTCTTCTCAATTAGGACTCTCCCATGCGTCTAAATAGGATTTAAACTTGATTGGCACGTTAGGAAAGTATCTCATGTGGGCCCATACAAGTGGTAGGGAATGTACTGACGTTTTCGGCTCAAAACATAACTTGATTTTCAACATGGGCGTGCCATTGGACACGGGCTGGGCCTGCTGGAGCATGAGTTCTAAGGTGATCGCAGCACGGGCCGTGCTCAGGTGAGCACGCTCTAAGATAAATTTATGGCACGGGCGTGCTGGACCGCACGGTTAGGGCCTGCTAGGCTCTGAGTTACCAGGATGGATGCAGCACGGGCTGTGCTTAGGTGAGCACGCCTTTGAATCAATATCATTATGTGGCACGAGCGTGCCATATAGCATGGCTAGGGCGTGCTGGGTTGCACGGCCAGGGCGTGCCAGCCTCTGAGAGTTTTGCCTACTTTGCTCTTTTCTGTATCAAAATCCTACAAATTTTTCAAGATCAAGTGAGTTATGTTTCAAGAAAGCTTTGAATAAAAACATAATTAAAACTGAATAAAAACTAACTAAAGTGATTAAAACTACTAAAAATCCTAACAAAAACTATATTAAAAATGTTATAAAAATAACACCTATCAGTAGACTCAGCCTTTTTTTCACTTTTAAGAAGTTTAATAATTAGTAAATATTTTATCTTAATATTTTATCTTTTATTTTTTAATGCAAGGCTTTGTGTATGAATCTGTTTTTTTCACTTTTAAAAAGTTTAATAATTAGTAAATATTTTATCTTTTATTTTTTAATGCAAGGCTTTGTGTATGAATCTGTACAGAACTTCATCCCTACAAAGTATAAGCCACCTTGAACCCAATCACCGTTACTCTTGGCCAGATCACACTGCTCTTCAACTTGTGCAAGGTTGTATAACGCTGTCAATGAAGTATTAAGTTTTGATGTCTACAGAAATGGTTTTTTGTTCAAGAATTCACTTTATGTACATTAGAAGTTGCAAACAAGTACATTTTTACGTACATTTTTACAGAATCTTTATATATATTAGAAGTGCAAACAAGTACAGTTTTTTAAGTTGCAAACAAGTACATTTTTACAAGAAATACCAATATCTTAATGAAAGTAAAAGAGTTTAATTAGATGAGTTTTTAATTTATTTTGGTTACCATTTTATTTTTTATTAAGGTTATATATGTGTTTGGTACAATTAAAAATATATTTGGTTATATTATATTAGTTTTTCGAAAGTATAGATTTTAAATTTTAGTATTTTATTTATTTTAACGGACAAAAACAAATGACATCGGATTAAACAATTGAAACATATGAATAATATTATTTTAGTATTTTTATTTTATGATTTAATTTTTATTTGAATAAAATTAAATGGTATGTTTTTACAAAAAAATTATTATTTTCTCAATTTTTAACTTTGAAATAAAAATAATAATTGTAAGCAACTACTATATTTTTTATCAAAAAATGGTACAAGATTATTATAAATTCATCACTGCTCTTTTCAAAAATAAAGTAAGAAACATTATAAAAAAATATGCTAGAGGAATACTTTTTTTACATTGTCTCATATTTCATTACATTATTAACATTACCTCAAATACATTTTTTTTATATCTTGCTTTATTTTTCTAAATTAAGTGTTAGAAATATTAAATCTATTTTGCATTATTACAACTCTATTTAGTTTGTTTGTATAGTTTGTTTCTATAGGTAACATGCGATGAGGTGATCGCTAACCTGCTTTTGTCTTTCTACTTATCTATTATAGACATAAAGTACAGTCTATCAATTTGATAAAACAATATATATGGAAATAGACCGATTTAAAATTTAATGTTCAAAACAAGTCAGTGCACCATAATTCCAAATCCTACTATGAACATATTACATATATTTTCGGTTTAATTCCAATTCTACCATGAACATATATTTACAGTTTATTTCCATACCAATCAATAAGAGAGAATAATTTAATTAGTCATGATATTACATGATATATTTTTAAATAAATAGATATATAAATATGTAGATAATCGGGACTTTAATTTGAATTTTTAAATTTAATATGTTAATTTCAAAATTATGCAAAATATTATTAAGAAAAGAAGGTTATATCAGCCAGAATAAAAACATCTAAGAATGAAGGAACTTCCTCCATAAGCATGAGCTCCTCAAGCATGAGCTTCTCCATACTGGAAGAGAGAGCTTCCTTAGTTGAAAAATCTTTTTTTTTCTCTCTCTTTTCGAAATATCATTCTTTTTTTCTTTTATAAAGTGTATGAATTAAAAAGGAAAAAGACATATTATATGGTTAAATTCTAAAAGGAAAATACATGTTTATTTAATAATATTATTTAATATCTTCACAATAATATTATTTAATATTTTCACACGCGCTAAGCGCGGTTTTACAACTAATAATATAATAATTGTAAAAAGGCCAAACACAGTGCATCATTTCATTTGCAAATAAAACCACCGGACTTGCGCTTTGTTCAGGGAAAATTATGGTTTTATATTTATATTTTACCATAATATACATTGCCTAAGCATTTTTAGAAATACATATTTTTATCTCTATTTTTTTATCCCCTTACACTCTTATAATCTTCCATCAAACTCTTATACTTTTTTATCAATAAATTATTATTTTATCCTATATTTTGTCAAAATTAACTAATTTATCTCTATATTTATTAATTAGTCCCTGTATTTTGCTAAAAATTAACTAATTTGCTCATGTATTTAACGGAAAAATAAAAAAATTAACAGAAAGGTATAACAATGCAGACAAAAAAAAAAAGACAAAACTATATATTTCTAAAAATGCAAGGGGCAAAGTCATGCATTTTGACAAAATACAATGATAAAATAATAATAATTTTCCCACTCATGTAAAACCTTCATTTGAAGTTAACATAGAAAACACCCAGATAATAGATAAACTTTACAAGCAGGGTCTGCTTCAGATAGATTTTAGCACAAAAACTGGAAAACATCATAATCCTATTTATGTACCTTAAAAAAATAAAAAATAAAAAATAAAAAATAAAAAATTGAACATTTCATTGAAATGAAAACTTGTGACATTGACATATAATTAGTTCTAACTTTCCTCGGCTCATATAGTTCGTATAAAGTGCTCAGTCGCTTCTCAATACAAAATACATTGTTCATGGAAAAACAATAATGATATACTCAGAACTTGAAAGAAAACGCAATTAGTAGAACAAAGGTATCTGCACCTGCCGGCTGCTACTAATTTGATATATAAGCCAATTAGCACCCCACCAGCCAACCCTACACAGGCATATGATTATCCGGAACTAAACCTTAATAAATATGTTTGAGAAAAAACATTTGAATCCACATAATACAAGAGCAAGTGACTATGTAGTATGCTTCCCTGCTGCCACAGTAATCTTTCTCATAGTCCAAAATGCAGCAAAGTATCGGTTCTGCAAAAAGGATCAACATTACAGACTGCTGAAGCAAATATTAAAACCAAAGAAGCAAAAAGTTAATAGCTGGAACTAGAAAAATCAGATTAAGCCAGCCTAGGTTATTTAGGGCTCTAATTCGGCTAGCCTAATATAATGAGATCTAGTAGCTTAGGAGAACTGGAGATGAAGAGCATATTAATTGGGGCTGCAAATGAATCTAACCGAGTTTTGGCTAAATCAAGATCAGCTTGTTTATTAAGTAAGCTCTTAAATCAAGGCTCAGGCGTAGCCCATTAACTAAATGAGCCAAGCCGGGCCAAGTACAATCTGACTCTCACAAGCAAAATCAAGCTATTTTTTTGTTCAAAAATATTAAATAATAAATAAATCATTCATATAATTATTTTAAAAGCTGAAATATTTTAGCTTTAGAATCTCAAAACAATAATGATTTGTATGATAAAATGCAGAAATACTTAACATGATGTTGTGGATATAATTAAAATTGCATACGAGCTTGATCACAAACTTAAATGAGCCAAGCTTTGCATAGTTTAGCCCATTTATTAGATGAGCTTGAAAATCAAACTTCACCTCAAGCTTATTTTAACTCGACGAGTTTTTATTGAGTTGAGTCTTTAGCAACTAACAAGCGGCTTGACTTATTTACAGCCCTAACAATAAATGGCGGACTGTGTGATAACTTGTTTGCAGCAGTATAAACAAAAAGCTGCAAATTGACATAGGCCTTCCAGGTCTACTTGAACCATCTCTAATTGTGACATTGGAACACATAAAGATACAAATACAATATGCAGATGACATTTTCAAGGAGCCACTCAGAATTACTGTCAGTTTCTATTACAAATTCAACATGTTCAAGAAAACTCTAATGTGCAAATTCACTGTGCCACATTATGAGAGGCTTACTTGCATCATTGATCGAGGATTTGTAGTGTAAGTCGTCTCTATCGTGCTTTCCTTCTGCAGTAGTCCATTAATAAGTCAGTTTCACAACTTAAAGGTTCACGTGTCAAACATGCAAAGACGACAGAAAATATGGAATTGGGATTACCTCCAACTGAAACCCATAGTGTAGAGCAACCCTCTTTACATCTTCCAAACTCAATTCAATGGACATCTCCTAAATTTTTCCAAAAAAAAAAAATATAAGACAATCAAGAGGAACAAGCAATAAAAAATCAGTGCTAATATATAATGAGGAGAGGCCAAGTAAGAATATCAGAGAAATTAAGCTTACATCTTGCCCATACATATCTGCAAAATGATACAATAAGGGTCCCAGATTTATCCAAACCTGTCAATGGATTAAATTCATCGAGTTAATTCAAGAAAAAAAAATATATCAATACAAAGTGATACAAAAACTTACTCCACCATCTTTCAAAATCCTTGATATAATTTCTATATACTCGATAATGTTGTGTGCCGTATCAATAAAAAAACAAGTCACAACTGCATCCCAAACTCCTGCATGCAACAAAAAGTACCTCCATAAGATTTTCATTACAATGTATGCAGCCAAGCTGAGACTCAAGAACAGCTCCACATAAAAGAATGTTTTAGGCACAGAACTGATGCATTGAAAAAATGCTTGTATATCTTAAACCAGCAATTATATAACATATTTTTTCAGATCAGCACTGATTTCAAAATACAAGTGCCACTTAAAATAGGAGTATACAGATGATAAACTGCCCAGATGAACCATTATTCAGAGGTGTAACAACCATTACAGGATGCACATGCTGAAGAGGAAAAAGAGATAGGATGCAGGTGGAAGGCAGATAGCTATGTGCCACAGTTTTCATGTTCTTTTAAAACTCTAATACCTACAGCCTTCTTATAAAATTAAACTTGGGCTGTCAACCAACATAAAAAAAAAAGGCTGTACCTCCTCCAAGTTTGTATTCAAGTCCCTTATCTGATATTTTTTTCATATCTATAATTTTCAACACTCACGCACGCGTATAGAACAAACCATATACATCAAATAATGAACTTTACACAGAATTATTAAAATTAATATCAATTTTTTAGCTTAAATATACTCTTAATGGTGTCTGATCATCTAGATAATCTAATAATAAAAGTGTGCCTACTTCAAGCATATTTATTGCAAGATAATGTGTCAAATAGTCCAGATAACTTTATGTATAAATTACATAATTGTGTATTATTCCCAAAATTCTAACTATTTCAAATAAGTAATGCATCTAGATTTCAAATAAGTCATGCATTTATTTAAACCAATACTTCTTTTTGGTGTTAATGGTATCAATATATTGTCTATTTAATTAAATTCTTGTTTAGATATTGATTTGAGGCCTTTTGCTGTTTCTTCTTTTAATTTTCTTTTTTAAGAGAAAGTTCAAAGTAGCATTCGCCAGTACTCTATACTGCTATTTAAAACCAAGGGGAGGACTAATTTCAAATTCTTCTCAGAATCCCATTTCATTTAGGTAGCATTCCATAGAATGAAGAACTGTGCCTGACAAAAGATGTAGATACACTAAACAAGGCACAATATGCCTTGAAGTGCACCAAATTTTCACTGAAAGCTATTTGGTGAGAATAGCCTAATTAACATTAAACTAACAGGGAAATGGAGAAAATAACAAAAAGATTCCTAACTCCAAGAAACCTATAGATTTATCCAGTGAAACAACACAAGCTCGTTTTAAGTGAAACAAATAACAACAAAAGAAGCAGCTGAACTTCTTTTCATCGGATGATTTACTACCATCATTCAACATTTAACTCCTTAGATTATCTATCCAATATCAACACGTACTGTGTTTACAAAGCCATGCACACCATGAACATTTAAGTAGCAATAATCTATATAATAAATAAACAGTGGAAAAGGATTATATTATCCATCAAATTTTGTTGTGATACTTAAGTATTATGGAGTTCAAAAGTCACTCCTCCCCAAATCCATAATTCAAACATATTAGAAGCTAGAACAGCCATGTCTTCAAGAGCATGCTGAATTTTAAAATCACATTATCTCCAACTGCCTCAAGTTTTGACATTTATTAGTAGCATATTTATTAAGAAACAAAATTAAAATGCAATCATTTTAATTCCCCTACCTAATTGACTCGGATCACTGTACACTTCAACAAAGTCACCACCACACATTGAAAAACCTTCAGTTATCCCTGCACTGCTTGCAAGAAAATTCAACAATCATTTAAAAATAACAATAAACAAATAGCAGTTCTCGAAATACAAAGCAAATGCATCAGTTAAATATCTTTCCATTAGCTAAACCTTGTTGTCATTCTTCAATTAGGTAGCAGGCATAAAGATTCTTGAATATCAATTATATTGTACAAAAGAAAACAAATGTGTGTCTGAACCCAACACATTTCTTTGCCTAATAAAATTTCTGAGGGTGAAAATTTGAAAGAAAATTGACACAGTGGTCCCATATCATCCTATAATCATAGATTATATGAGAGACAATAGAGAGAAGAAAGCTTCTTGACTAGCACAAGGATAACTAAAAAACAATGGTTATCACATTCTTGTTTTAAGATCAGACAGAACATCAGCATTTTGAAGGTTCAGAATTTAATATGAAATATATTAAACCAATTCAAATGTGATAGATGTCCAAACAGGCCTAGCAACAATGGAACATTGGAATAGGAGGGGAGAAAAAAGGGAAATTCCAACATGCAATGAGACTATCATAGTTTAGCAGGAAGAAATCCTAGGACTCCAGAAATTAGATCCTTTTCATGAAACGTGACAGACCTAAATTCACGATTTGTTCACAGCCTCAACAATCTAAATTTTCTTTTCTCTCACTCTAGAAAGCTCCAATTCAAAAAAAAAAAAAAATCCTTAAAGACCATAAAATTCATGAATCACTTAAGATTTGCCTACCATAAAAGTACTCGTAAAAATGGATTTCTGAACCTGTTCTACATCAGTTTGTGTGTGTTTGCAAGTTACACATTTGTTACGTGATTTATAACTTTTTGTAGAATCCATTTTCCATAAATTTGACTATGTGATTAATAACTTATCTATGTAGATTATATGTCAAATTTTGAATCAATCAAATATGTCCATATAGATAAGTATTCCACTATAATACAACATCTTATTCATAGGCATCTTTAATCAGAAGTTCAATTTCAAAAGTTTTTTAAGGAAAAGCCTAGAAAAAATCAAATGGACTTCAAATTAGCGTGCACAATCTACCTAACTGAACAATAAATCCAACAATCCATTTTTGAAATAGTGAATCATAAAACATAAGTGATAGGACTATAAAAATCATTTGCACATCCTTAAGTTGATCCTTTCCCACACTCTGAGAAGCAAATTTATTTCTTGTTCCTCTCTTTCTACTTCCAAATGCATTGAGAAGGGCAATAAGAAAAGATGTACAATATTTCAAGCATACTTGATACCACACACTTCCATAACTTAGGAAAGGCAAACTTAAGTTTTCACAAACCCAATCTTCCCCTGCAAGTAGTACTCCACCATGAATGCAGAAATTGAACCTCTGTTTAAAAGGCAAATCTTTAACATTACAAATACCTTTCCAGAAAATAATCAGAAACAATAATGCTTGTTCTTGTTATAGACCAACCACAAAATAAAAACTTCTGTGATGAATGATTAAGAACAACCCATAGAGATCTCTTCCATTTCAGATAACCACTCAGCCTCAAGGCAAAGGGGTAAAATTCATAATAACATGAGAATTGGAATGAGGCACTCAGACTAGCCAATCTTTCAAAAGTTTGAAAGATTTCTAGCTAAATTTACATAGCAAAGTGTCATCGAGTATCCTTGTCCAACATTGGATCTGTATCAGGTACTCGAGAGTAAAGCGAGTAAAGTAAAGCATTGTTGTAACTTGTAATTATGACCTGCAAAGCTTCCACTGAAAAAGAAAGAAACGTGAACAACAATATGAATACCTTGCTGGATGAATATCAGGTATTGAAACAGGACGAAGTTGGTCACTTTCTGAAAGTGAATTGCAATTGCTATGAATCCATGGATATATAGCCCACTCTCCAGCTGTCTGAGTGCTAATAACATTAAACCACCCAATATAGAAGCAATGTTAACTCTTTTACAGATTAACTCATTTATTGCTAAAAAACACATAAGCAAGCATGATTAGAAAACAATTGTCAAAATGTTCTTACTGATTAAGAATAAAACTGGAGCATATCATCATGTAGTAGGAAAATTCATTTCCCTGGCTTACAAAACCTGTTAAATGACATAAGAAAAGCTAAGAGCAAAATGAAGTGGTGGAAAAGTAAAAAATTTTGACAACTCAGCATCTAATACATACCCAAACATGAAATCTCCAAGGCCAGCCGCCCAAGACCAGCACCAGGAACTAAACATGTAGGAGGACTGTTTCAATAGAACTATGGTTATAGCCATAATAGATCAAATTACAATTTCCATGAGAAAATGAAACAGAATTCTTAACGGTAATTACAGTCATCAAAAGAACTATCCTAAAACAAGAAACACAATTGAGGAAGATCACACACCTGTCCTTGCTGCGGTTAGGAAATAAAGAATCAAGCTCATTAAGAATAGGTTTGTAGCACTGGTTGCGTTCATTTTGTCCCTGGATCAAGATTCAAAACAATGGCAACACATTAATGTCAGCTGAATCTCTAGATATCAGAGACAAGAAATTAGACAGCTAAAATCAATGAAGTCATAACCTCTTCTGCCCAGTCTCTTACTATATTCCTTATTATACATCGGACCTGTCAAAAAGGCCAAAAAGGAAAAATTAACTCATAATCATACACGTTAAGGAGAATCTATCCAATTGCATATTTCTGGAGAGAGAAGAAGAAGAAGGTTACAGTCATTATCCAACCAGTTAAATTTGAAAATTTAGATTAATCATACGTGCTAGAATCTATCTAATGGCATATTCTGTCCATTGTCCTGGCACGTGGAATAGGAACATGGTCCATTGATTGATGCCTTCACATAAATCTTAACAAGGGCATGGTTTAGGTGTATTCATATTACAACAGGCTGGCTGATGACTGGATGGCTTTCCACTTCCTTTCGTTTCCACATAATGGATTCTAGTTCCTTCGAGGGTCAAGTCAGGAATTATTGAATGAGTTGGTTACCAACACAAAATGCCTAACGTTAAAATTGATTGCTGCTACCAAATGATTGGGATTAAGGGTTAGTTGACCTAAGTTGCTACCACCAAATGCTAGTGTACTTAGATTTTAGTACTCAAATATCTTCCAGTAATACGATTCCAGTTCATAGCTAACTTTTAAACATCACTGGTCTTTATGAAATAAGTTATGATTGCTAAAAAATTTAAATACATCAGCGAAAGAATCTCATGATGATTGGAATTCAAACAATATAATAATTGTGCCTTCCTCAGTAAGATAAAATCTACATTCCACATTTGGAAACAAAAATTACTTGTCCATAATCCATTTTAATCAACTTTCACTAACAAACCACATCTTTCCCATCAAGATTATACAGTTTCACCTTCTTCCATTAAGAAACCCAAAGATATACCAATTATAGGAGCTAACGGGTTGACCTCACATGCATACCTAGAGAATTTGTAATCATTGGGGAAAATGCCAAGTACCACCACTCAAAATGCTGCTAGAAAATAACCAACTTACAAGGAAAGATAAGCTTTAAACAAGTTACAACAGGGTAAACTTTTGTCAATGGCTAACTCCAACACCTTGCAATAGTATCTGGAGTATAGAAACTCCAGCCCCTAATAAATTCTTTTTTCATCCCAACACATAATAACTTGCAAATACATTTATGCATTCCAATTTGATATATGAACCAATATCCCAACTATATACGACACATAAATAATAGCAATAGTAACGTATTATTAGCTAAACATCCTCATTAGTCATGTGTCCATCTTAATTCTCCCCAATTATCTTTTATTCTCAACATTTATTCAGAACCCAAATTTGCACGTATGACATCAAAACAGCAGAATATAAAATAAGATAAACTTAGGAAGTACAAGAAATTTGAATTAAAGCAAAAAGTTCTAATAATTTGTTCATAATTGCACCAATGAACAAATATAGAGGCTTTTAAAATTAGTTTCAGAGACAAGATAAACAACATACCTTATCAACATCAACCAATGGAACATTCAACCGAAGTGATGGATCCAGCCAATCATGGTGTGACAAGGAAACCTAAATGATGGCATATGAGAGTATACTTTTTAGTATATAATCTATAAGGTGTTAAAACAACAATGTCATGCTTGATGCTGAAAAAAATCTTGAAATTGAAGAAAACTACTAATCATGATAAAAAAAACAAAGAATACAAATTAGGGGCATTTCTGCATTGTCAACTCTTTACCAACAGGGTCCACATCCTGATTCGGAATTCCCAACAATTGATTGAAAAAGCTAACCTGTTTGCCAGGCGACACAGTTGCTTAAGCCACCTTTCTTTTATTCTTTTGAATCATTTTCCATTTATAATTACAGCAGGAAAAATATTCAAGTGACCTAGGAATTGATGCATATGTATTGTATTCATAGAAAATTTGCAACAATGTAAATAGCTCCTCCGCTTGCAAAAGGCAAATACGTAAAGGTTCAGGTCTGAAATTAGGCAAGAGAAATATGAGATATGTAGTTAAGCTGTCAATGATGACAAGTATATTCATGATATCTAATCAATCCATGCCAAGAATGTCTAGAGCATCTTTAGCTTCTCTCATTTCCCTTCCCATAGCAGACAGATCCATTGCAAGGTTGATTTTAGGTTCTTAAATCCAACTGAGATAGGTGAGTGAGAGATGCATGGCGAATTTGAATTTGAAGTTCACAAATGCAGTGTCTAATCACTAATGGATCAATTATCAAACTTGTTAATATGCAGGGTCAAATGAATCAATTAATTTATAAACCATGCACTGAATTTCCACTTATGATGCTCAACAGACTCTTTTCAATGAAATAATAAGATGCAGGTGAAGTGAAGAGATGCTGGTCGATTTTGAATTTTGAAAGTTCAAAATGCAGTGTCTGCTTAAACTATGGGAATCAATTATCAAACTTGTTAATATGCAGGTAAATATGAATCATTAATTTATAAACATGCACTGAATTTCCACTTATGATGCTCACAGACTCTTTTCAATGAAATAATAAGATGCCATAAACCTAAATGAGTTACATTTCATTGGAATCTGTTGCAATCATTCTTGAACACCTTACTGTTCTTATTGTTGTTTTGCACTTTCAGGATGGCTCTCTGTAGCAGGCTCACAGCACTCAATTTGCACCTCTGTTGTTATCTACAAGGTCAATCTTCTAAATGAAAAGGACATTAAATGGAACGCAACCAGAAATTGCAATTTCAATAGTCATTTTTTCAAATTCACAGTTGCCTGTTCAGAGACACGTATTGTTAGTCGGCCTATCTGAATGAATCTGCGATAATGTGTACTTTCGTTGTCTGAGAGTCTCCAGGGTTCGGAACAGCTTATTCTCAGTGGTAATGGTAGACCGGCAGGAGAGCAATTCTCAACCAGAGAAAGAGATGATCATTTGATGCTGTTCAAAATGTGATTCTCACAACCATCCATGTCTTGGGCCAATCGCAAGGGAGGTTCAACGCCTAAATGATGAATTTAATCAATTACAATTTCCAAAGGTATAATAATATGAAAATAAAATAAAAAGAAAAATCCAGGGAAGGGAAGGGGAGGTTAGAGGGGGGAAGAGAAATAGAAGAGGCATTTGCCAGAGAAGAAAATGGAAGCTCAAACTCAACGACTGGAAGCATGTTATATATAAAGGTAAGAGTTATAGAAATACAACTGAGTTAAAGCATAATTTTTATATTCTTTCATGGTGTTAGACAGAATGCATTTTCAAGGCATGTTAAAGGCCTATGCTTTCTAAGTTGCAATTGTATCAGACTTCGTGTGTCATATAAATTAGGATAAGCATGGTGGTAGAACCTTTAGGCAATCACATAGATCCAATGTAATCAAAGAGCAAGACACGAGAGAGGAGAACAAAAATATCAGAGCAGGACAAGTCCACTGGAGCAGATGGACACTGTATATTATTATCAAACAGATAACATCTTGGAATCTACGTACAAGAAGCACTCATGCAAATTTGGGGATCATTTGAGTTGCTAGTCAATCAAACACTTTCTTATTCGCAACACTTTTAAATATCCAAATACAATTCCTAAGTTTTTGGAACTGATTTTCGTGATTTATGATTAATAGCCACTTCAAATAATCATGAAATGACAAAATCAATACTACACATCATTTCTTCACGTGTTGGCTAACAGAAAATGATATACCAAATACTTCATTATCACCGTAAAACAATTCATTTTGGAATATTTTCCCAAAGAATCATATTTCTTGCTTGATGCATATTGAAATTATTAGAATATTAAAAAAATTTTTTTTTTTTTAGTTTATAAGTAAATAATTTTAGAATTATAAAAACTTCATTTTTCAGATTTATTATTAAAGTATGAGAAAGATACATAAACTGGTATATTTAATGATGCCTCCAGTGGATGTTGGTTGAGTGGTGGCTTGACAATGGACTATTGGTGGTGTCAATGAATTAATGACTTAATGATTCAATGGTTTTTCTTTATTATATAATTTGTCAAGTTTGGGAAATGATTTTCTCTTGAGAAGGGAAAAGGTATTTTCTTGCTTGTTTTCCTTTGACTAGGAAAATATTTTCCTGTTGACTAATTTTATTAAGTGTACCAAATATCAAAAGAATCTGAAAATGTTTCCCGGAATATTGTCGGCAGACCCATGTTGTTGGTTTGGATTATAACTCATGATATCAAGTTTTAGATAGAAAGTTTAAGCGGACAACACTGTTTGGTTGGCTAATTGCTTTGCTAAATAATCTGCAAAGTGAAAATTTCTTTTTTGTTTGTTTCAATTGTGAAAAAGCTTGGCCGTTTTCCTGAAAGGTATTTCAAAACCACAAGTTAACTAGGAGTCACCACTCATGGTTTCTGATTCAAATATGCATGAGCAAGATTTTTTTTTTCCCCTACTGCTATCGCTCTGACAGTTTACAGGCCCATTCTGGCACAAACAAGAACACACTCGGATTGTGGCCACTTTTCCCCAATTTTGTGTATTCATGCCATAACAAAACTAATTAAGTAACAATATAGAGTAAAGGCAAAAAATGATATGGAAAGAAAATGGAAACATAAACAGAAAACTGCAACACTGCAACTAGTTTCCTTGTATTCGTAGCAACTATGTAAGACTTTTTTTTTTTTTTTTTTTTTTGAGTCAAACTGAAGTCCCTCAAAAAAGAAGATTCGTGATAGGTAGAGCACAAAACTAAATTAATAGAAAGATGATTAGTCCAAATTGAACCAAGCAAATTTGGCTTGAGTAAAAATATCCTCAATCGTACAAACTCAACTTTTCTTTTGTACAAGATACTAGAATTGAAATTAATCCAAACAAATACAACTTACTTTCACTTCTTCAAGAAATTCCAATTTGGAATAACGCTGTTTTCTTTAAAAATATTATGTAAGGTTTTAAGGACAGCTTATTTGGAACATTTTCGCAACTAATTTGTTGGGGTAAAATTTTGACTTCTTAAGTATAATCTACTTTTTACATAGGTTAAATAAATCATGCTAAGTTTTTGCAGTCCAAAGTCATGAGCATTCAACTATAAAAACATTGAGAAGAAAATTACTTCTTAGCTTTGAAAACTTCAAAAGGATAGTGGGATACTAAAGCTGAAAACAGGTAAATGAGTAATGGCAAAAATTATTACACAAAGGGGAAGAAAACCTTAAAGAAGAGATAGTAAATAATTTTTTTTTAAAAAAAAATTGTCCTTATTTCCAGATAGAATGTTGTTTAAGCGCCAGTTAGCATATTGTTATGCATGGTGATAGTAGACAACACAACACTAGGCAGTTACAAAGTGAAATACTTCAGACATAATGAAAATATGCCCATATTGCTCAAAAACAACAAAACAACTAGCTTTGGGTTCAAATAGCTGAGGTCAGCTATATGATTTCTTATTTTTCAAATATTTGCTGATAATTAAAATATCAATGAGCAAAACAAGTAATAAATCAGAAAAAATTTTGAAAGGTACTTTTGGTGGGAAAAAAATTTTTGAAGCACCATACAACCTAGAAATCACCCAAGATTACTATAGGTCATTTTTTTGCCAAAATTATTAATGGCCAAAGAAAATTTGTCTAGGTCGATTTTCATACTTTTTAATATACTCATTTATCTATGACCTGAATAACATGAATCCTGTATATTTGCGTTTTGATACATCGAGATATCATGATTCTAACATCTTTAGGTTTCCATTATTGTAAATAAACGAGTTGAAGTATGGATAATACCTTGTGGATTAGGTGGAAGCTTTTTAAAAGATTTCTCATATCGTTTTTACATCTTCTTTCTGCAGCATCCTGATAGATCATCAAAAAAAAGGAAAAAAAAAAAATTTTTCAATCGGAAGAATTATAATATTTTTTTGACAGGCTCAGAAAAACAAGTGGAAAATTTAGACACTAAAAAATACTAATGAAAATTTTGAAGGAAATGAAATATCTTTGATAGACTTTTAAACCTCTGCTCACATGAATAAACTTTTTTAAAGAAAATGTAGCATCTTCTTTAGCTTTGCAATAGAATTAGTTTTTTTAAATATAAATAAGAAAATTCTGCCATTGAAATAAGATCCAATTCATTTGCAAATTTACTTTCAAGAAAGGATAATTATTATATATCCTCATTGACAATTTCCTCAAAATGCCAAACAGATATACTAAAATACAGAAAAAAAAAAAGATATAGAACTAAGTAAGTTGAATACTATTCCAATATATATATATAGAGATAGATCATAAAATTCAAATGGAAAGAGAAGTCAAGGTAGAGAGATAGAGATATAGATTTAGAATTCTCATTATATATAATAGATATTTGCTAAAATAAATTGAATAAGATATGGCGAGGGAGACTCTTTGAGATGGCGCTGATAATACGCTGAAGGGGAATTCTGAACTTGAGAACCTTTCATCTTCTCCACGAAGTAGATATACTTCGTTTCCTCTTCTATGGATGCAATATTAATAGATATATATATAGATATGTACTTTGGCCTACCGGTGTCCTATCTAAGAAACTGAATATGGAGAAAGAAGGCGAAGGATGAATATAGAGATAAAGGTTAAGGATAATAAGATATATAGAGAGAGTGAATATAATTCGAATCGTAAACAAAATTTATATTAT